ACTTGTGGTGAGGAGAGTGTTGAAGTTAAAACACTATATAAACTTGTGGTATGGAGAGTGTTGAGAAGTTAAAACGCTATACAAACTTGTGGTGTGGAGAGTGTTGAGAAGTCCCTCACACCACAAGTTTGTGTAGTGTTTTAACTTCAACACTCTCTCCACACCACAAGTCTGTATAGCGTTTTGACTTATCAACACTCTCCACACCACAAGTCTGTGTAGTGTTTTCTCTCCAACCACAAGTCTGTATAGTGTTTTAACTTCAACACTCTCTCCACACCACAAGTTTGTATAGTGTTTTAACTTCAACACTTGTTGAGAAGTTAAAACACTATACAAGCTTGTGGTGTGGAGAGTGTTGAAGTTAAAACACTATATAAACTTGTGGTGAGGAGAGAGTGTTGAGAAGTTAAAACACTATACAAACTTGCGGTGTGGAGAGAGTGTTGAAGTTAAAACACTACACAGACTTGTGGTGTGGAGAGAGTGTTGAAGTTAAAACACTATACAATCTAATACTTACAGGTTACGTGTTGTTAAACACTGGATTTTGAAAGTTTCTAGGTAATACAAGCTAAGCTTTAAATTCAAGCTGCTGAACATGAATCTAGATAACCTTAAAATTATATAAATTACAAAAATTTAGCTTCAAGTAAAAGAGTAATATTTATGTAGTATTCTCTATTGTTAGGCTTAGAATAGCAAACAATGTGGTTCTGATTTATGTAAAATGTATAACAAATTAACACAAACTAGGGTATTATAATTATTAATAGTATAGTAGTCCAGTTTATAAGAAAAACACTTTGTTCTCATTGAAATTATTCCTACATTTGATGAAAACGTTTCATTGACACATGTACAGGGTAGTCCATAAGTCTGTAACCACGTTGTCACGTGTAAAATGCATAACAAATTAACACAAACTAGGGTATTATAATTATTAATAGTATAGTAGTCCAGTTTATAAGAAAAACACTTTGTTCTCATTGAAATTATTCCTACATTTGATGAAAACGTTTCATTGACAGATGTACAGGGTAGTCCATAAGTCTGTAACCACATTGTCACAGTTTGGCTGACTCTCGTACTAGTTCTGATAATGTAAAATAATATAAAAGTACAAACAATAAACCCTTATTAACCAGAAATATTTAAATGTGTTACAAGTTTGGGTTGTGTTATTTTTCTGATTTATATACTTATGAGTTGAGTTCGATTTTAAAGATCTGGAGATAATAATCTGTAGTGGGTGGGATGTGGAGTGAAGACAGTGAGGTATCTTTATGTGAACCGATTCATATCAAAATTAGCATCCAAATATACAGTGAGGTATCTTTATGTGAACCAATTCATATCAAAATTAGCATCCAAATACACAGTGAGGTATCTTTATGTGAACCAATTCATATCAAAATTAGCATCCAAATACACAGTGAGGTATCTTTATGTGAACCAATTCATATCAAAATTAGCATCCAAATGTACAGTGAGGTATCTTTATGTGAACCAATTCATATCAAAATTAGCATCCAAATACAGTACAATTTTTGAACAAGTTATCCAAATACAGTACAATTTTAAACAAGTTATCCAAATACAGTACAATTTTAAACAAGTTATCCAAATACAGTACAATTTTAAACAAGTTATCCAAATACAGTA